CCTGCCCGCGAACCGAGAATGCAAAAGTTTGATCATTCCAAGATTGGGGCAACTTTAATGCTTACTCTGATTGACAGACGTTGTGTATTCCAGTACTGTACACGATTTCCTGATCATTATTTAATTCTGCACTTCATTGACGGTCATAAATCCTTTGATTATGGAATGTGTCATGTTTTATTGGTCCCAAAAAGTCATCCTCGGTCGGATTCAATTGAACTCATCCAATTTGTCAAGCATAAGATATAAAACATGAACAAATTATTTAAATTTTGTGGAATTAAATAATTAATCCACATACCCTTTTCTAAAAATTGAGAGAAAAAAGTAGTGTGAGTAATAGGTGTGGGAGACACTTCGAAATTTTGTTAGAAGTTCAAGTGTGTGTCACACTTGAACTTTGTGTGACTAAAATGTCTGACTAATAGTTTTGTGTGTGACTAAAATGCCATTTATATAAAAGTAGGCATATTCACTGCATTGTGTCTTCAAGTTGTTCATTACTACAAATTTCTTAATTGGGAGCTTCAACAGCTTCGGTCTTTGACAGAAAAGGTAAAAGCAGTTATGATATCGGTTCAAGGATCTATAATTAGAAAGTTGAATTGGAAATATTGCCCAGCAAACTGAATTTCGGACCAGTCAGTGTTGATTTAATAGTAAAGGCAAGTAGAATCACAGATTCTGATTTTGACAAAATACTATCAGAGCTTCCGTTTTAGTTGAGGTCTTCTATAGAAATGATTCACTCTCTTATTGCTGATATTTGTCAGTTTATTCATTCCTTTTTCTTCCAGTTTTGTATGATATGCACCAACAACAATATGAAATGTTACTAAAAACATGTTTTAAAGATATTTTGACCCCATGATTGGGAATATGTGTTGAGAAATTAATCAACCCACCATGAAGAATTGAACTGTAATTCATTGGAAGAAATGGAAGGCATTATAAGGCAGGGCAATCAGCCAGTTTGCAGCCAGGCATACATATGTAATTAAGAGTGACCTTAACTACATTGTACAAATTTAATCAAGAAAAGTTATTCTAGAAAGGGAGTGTACGTTCCCGAGAGATTTTTGGGCAGAGTTTCAATCCTCCTTTTTACAAAAGTGGTTCCCCTTTTTCTTGGGGAAGAGTTGTAGAGAAATTTGACCAGAGGGCTTCTAGATAGACCTTACTTGCACAGTTTGTAGGAGAAATAAGTGAGTAGACAATTTGGCAGGTGCGCAACCTGCTGGAATAAGTGCAAAGGTGTTTTCAACACACAAAACTGGAAATGCACACACTCTCAACAATTGTACACAATGTCGTCAAAAAGATTTCTTTCTAGCGAATTTTAGAACTTTTTGAGTCGGAATTCCTTGCGTGGAGTGTCGCAGTGACGGCGTTTTTCAGTCTGATGATGGGCGCTCCAAAATGGTCTGCTATTTATATGCTTCTCATCTCCTGGCTCGGTCCAGGGGTTTTTCAGGTTCTAACGTCAAGGACTTCCGCCGGATCCCAGTAAATTTGGCCCAACTGTCTAGTGGGCTAATTTATTGGGACACGGCAATTTGGAACAGAGTTTTTTTGTTCCCCAAAAATTCGGATTTTTGGGATGAGCTCAAAAACCTTGAAAAAGGACTCGTGGGAAGAGGATATCCCTCTTTTGGAACAAAATTTGACACGGCCCTTTTTTGTTTTTCCGAGTGCCAACACTCCAAGCGTCAAATTCCCCTCGTATTTTGGGGTAATTCAGTCCTCATAAAACAGAGGAAACCCCGTAGTTTTTTAGAGGGGGGTTATCTCCTTCAGGGCGGCTTAACTGCCGCCAGATGTCTTTTGCCATTTGTCTTTTGGCACGCCAATTGGCGCGCCAACTATTAGAAATATAATCCCGAAGTTCGAACTTCGGGAAAACGGTCAGTAATTTAATGTCGAAAACATGACACAAGAGTCGTCTCAGCCATAATTCTTCACATACATATCCCTAGTTTTGTCTGGTTTAATCAGTCCATAATACTGTACATCACAATGAAACACACAATACAAAAATAATGCATCACAATAAATGTAATAATGCAACACGCATTCAATGAAACCAACAAATTTGAGTGCACAGATTTAGGGTGCAATAATGCAATGCACTAATTCAATCAAAAGAATGGGGATTGAATTGTTTCAGGGAAGTTTACTGCAAGAGCTATATTGAAGGACTGTTTATTGGGAGTGGAAGAGTGCTGGGTTTTAACCAATTTCAGCTGTATGCTTTGGTTAGGTCAGCAAACGAAAGTAGGCAACTTTTTCCCCTCCGGTGATTGGAGGGAGAAATGTGCATCAAAGAAGTTGTGCATCCAGGGAATAAAGAAAAACAGGACCAGAATTAAGTTATTCAAGGACCTGATGTCCCTGGGCACAAGTTCTGGTTCCCCACCAATATGTAGCATTCAGAAGTTGAAGGCAGCAGTAATTTTCCTTACCCAGGAATAAGCCCTTCCCATTAAATTTACAAAGGCGCTCATTTGGGTTGTGCTCACTTTTCCAGAGTGCTCAATCAGGCGCCTGATGGCCTTTCACATGTAGCTTTAAACTATGAAAGGAAAACTTACTCATTTTCCAATCAAGACGTAGAAAAATTGGTGCAACCAAATGTGTAATGGGTTGAAAAAAAAGGTTCTTGTGACATGAATTGAAATATTATATCACTAGGGTGAGAAAAAACATTCAAACATATTTGTATTTTTGGGGTGAAAGTCAGCCTGAAAACTGTCTGTTTATCACTGAAACACTGAAGCACACATCTAGCATTTTTTTCATATAACCCAGCTTTTCTTTCAGAATTCTTGAAATATCAACATGACATTAATTCCAAGGGTTGCCTTCATGTGTTCCGAGGTAATTCCGCCATTTCCATGCGCATGCAACATCCATATCCGTTATATTCACCTCTCAAATAGTGACTGTTGAGGAAAATGACGGGATTAATAATACATTTGTGACAGCTACCCTTGGAATTAATGCCATGTCAATTTCAAGAAGTCTGAAGAAAAATCTGGGGTATGCCAAAAAAAATTAGCAAGATGGGTGCCTCATCTTTTCAGCATAGAGCAGAAATCCAGCCAGAAATGCCAGAGCAACTTTTGCAAAAATATGTCAATGTTTTAAAATATGTCAAACAGAGCTGAATATGTTCGCTTGTGCCAAAGAAAAACTTTTCTGAGCATTAATTTTTTTTCTCTCAATTGTATGCTCTTTAGATTTATATTCCAAAACATTTGTTCAACCCCTGGTACATATACGCACTGTACCCGCAATAATAAGGCATTCCCTCCTTAAAACAGTACCAAGCAGCGAGACCCATCAGGAGGGTTCCAGCAATAAGAAACGTCACTGGGTCCAGTGCTGGAACGAGGACATCAGCACCGACCTGAAAATGTCCTTTATATATATAAAAATGTACCCATGTATACACTTGCACCTCTCCATTTTTTTCAAGCCTGTATATGTACATACTGTATAGTCTGTGTTATATGGCAACCAGGGGTAAAATTTTTCCTTACAATTCCCCACCGTCTTACCCTATACTGTATAGTGCCTATACCCACTCCCGTTTTTCGCGTCGACGTCGAAAGCGACAGCATCATTCGTAGGGGCCTCGGGCTCCCGCCTGAACCCATCCGCCTGCTTGCATGCAGCAGCACTATACAGGGAACCCGTGGGGTTCTTCTCCGGCAGTATAGAGCAGTGCGCAGGCCGCGGTTTCGGGCTGCTTGCCGAAGGCCTAGCTCTTCCCCTGTGTATTGTATATAGCTTCTGTTGCTCCTGCTGGGTTTTTATACCCACCAATACGACCTGTGTGTGCTTGTGTGTGTGTGTGTGTGTGTGTATGGGTTTTGTCTTCTTTTGTCTTCTTTTTTATATGTTGCGAGGTTTGCCCTGTTTTCCTTCTCATCGATTCCGCTCGTCTTCTGGGATCTTCACGAAGGAAGAGGTCGCATTATTATACTGACCCGAAACAAACCCCTTGTCAACAGTGTGTTAAGCACCAATTCAGTTCCGTGTGGGGAAAAGATTCAAGTGCGGAGTTTATGCAATTTTACACAGTGATTTTCGTTTAAAATGGGTTTAGCTATTTCGCAATTTGATTTTTGCAATTTTCTTGAAATCTTACTAGGTTCCGGCAGCCATTTAACTCGTGCCTCGAAAAAAAAAACTGTCGAATATGTATTTTTTTTCTTCATTGTGCATTGGTAAACCTTTTTGCTTGCAGAAACTCTACTTTGACAATAGTTTTTTCGTCTATTCATCACTATTTAAACTAATGCAAAGCATCGTCTCTCAGTCTAGGAAACCTGGACATTGTTTTATTTGGCAATTTTTGAATGGTCTTTCAAAATTTTCATATGGTTTGTACAATCAATCTCGGAGCGTCTCAAAAATTCGGTCTCGCAACAGAAACCGGAAGACATTTTTGACGCATGGAATGTTGAATAAATTGTCAGAAGATGAAGGCATTAAGTTATAAAAAGGCGAATCTTGATTCTACAGTATATAGGGCAGTGCCCAATTTTCCGGCTACTGTAATACGTCTCACAATTTTCATTCTATGCAAATTTCGAAAGGATTCCTGAGCCTCGTAATTGAGGCTTTGTGAATTTTGGATTTGAAATTCTGAGCTTATTAATTTTTTTTCGTTTTTCATGTTATTCAGAGGGCTGAACTTTTTTGCATTCGAAGTGGGATAATTTGGGACCGTTTTTTTAACTACTTGAATTTAGCATTCACCGTCTTTCAAGAAGAGGTAAAAGTATTAATTCATCATTCAAATCGTGATTTTAAACAATCGTTTGGGAGGTGAATAATCCTGCGACTGTAAAATCAGGGAAAAAAGTGTCCCATACACTTTTTGAATAAGAGGCTATACGAGCTAAGTTGAACTGCTTATATATTATTTAGAAAATGTTGAAGGTTTCATCTGTTGAACTTCAGCATTTCAGACGTTCATAACACCTTTGCACATTTTTGTTCATCCTGTAGATTCCTGCCGGTAAAACCCAAGAGCAGGAGAAATTCGTTGCTCTATATAAAGTGCTTGCATGTCTTGTGTCAATCGCGAATTCTTGTGTCCTGTCAGTTGTGCTAAAAATCGCGGGTGTTGGTGACTTCACACACCGTCGACAGACCATCAGCTTCTCAATGTCTCAGGAAATAACGCACCAGAAGATTAACGATGCCTTTCATGGTGAGCTCTTATTGCAAATTAGCAAATCATTGCCCTCCAGCCCTGATGATCGCTGATGCGTTATTCAACATCCATTAGTGTTGATCAGTCAGCCAGGTTCATTTATGAAGTGCTTTCATTGTACAGTCCAATATATACAGTACACAGTCGAAACTCGAAAAAGGACTCACAAAAAAGGGAACTAGTGAGTTCTTTTTTATAGTTGAACCTTCATCAGAATTTTTGGTTGGGAAGAATTAAGAACTGCAGAAAGGTGGAATGGGTGATATTCTGGGTATAAATGAGATCACTTGGTGCTTGTTGAGGACTGCGGCTTATACAAATTAAATAAATAAATATATATTTTACATATGTTTTGTTACCAATGTCAGGGAGTGAATGGGGTATGCATAAATGTCAGATGTCCAGTTGTATATCATGTTGTCATTGAGTGGATTTGGGTTGGGTGGGAAGGGGGTTTGGTTGTGGAAATGCTGGAGTTGAACAGATGAAACCTTCAACATTTTCAAAATAATATATAAGCAGTTCAACTTTGCTTATAGCCTCTTATTCAAAAAGTGTATGGGGCACTTTTTTCCCTGATTTTACAGTCGCATATGTCCAGTTGTATATCATGTTGTCATTGAGTGGATTTGGGTTGGGTGGGAAGGGGGTTTGGTTGTGGAAATCTTGATTGAACCTTGTGAATGCTGAAAAGTGGTAAATAAAGTGATCTGTTCATTCATTCATTCAATAAATATAATTGTCCCCCTATATACATATACCTTCCTGTTCAAACCAGTGCTGGGGCTTATAGAGAGCCAAACACCAAAGAAGAAGTCCCTAAGAAGTGGTATGACAATTGGCCGCATCATCTTAACTTCTATGCAAATTACCCAATCAGAAACACCAAAGAGCCCAGTAAAGGAAAACCACTTTCCTCCTCTTCCTTCTTCCTATCCCAAATAAGCAAACTCAAAATTCATTCCACTGCAAACTATCAAACTAAGAAGAGCTAAAACGTTACTGCAAGTATTGGAAGACTTGTGGATTTGTGTTGTGTGTGTGTGATTGTGAAATTCACTGAGTTGCTGAAACTGTGTTGGGACATCAATGAATCCAATTCTTTGTGGAGCCTCTATAAAAGAGGCTCCCAGCCAGTCCCAGGCTGTTTGATGTGTTTTATTGTTTTCCTAATCCAATTTATAATTGAGGACTCATCAAGTTCTTAATGGTGCTGAACTTTGAAGAAAGGGTCCATGTGCTGATTGTAGCCCAAAAACCTCCCCCCCCCCCCACAATAAGCCCCTGTCTGAAGGTCCCCTTGCCAAAAGGCAACCCTAGGTCAAAAGCATCATCACTTGCTGACTCCTGCCAAATCAACAATTCACCTTGTTGATCCAAAGGTGGGTGCACTTCATATCATCAAAAATAAGAATGGTGGTCAAAAGGCATACTACAATGGCCATTTATTCATGGTTAAGAACACAAAAGCATCAGTGACAGTGAGAAAGAGGCAAAGAGGCAGCATTACGGCAGTTTTTAAGATGATTATTAAACAGTCCTTTTGAGAACTAACAAAACCAAACATCCCTTCTCAGGACCACCAAACACTGTTATGAAACTTGCATCCATTTTTTTAATGGGGGGCTTTTGATCTATGGAGGCTTTTGGCAGGTGGGCTTTCAGAGGGGTCTTTTGGTTGGGTACCCCATTTGCCCCATTAAATGTCAGAAATATGTTCTTGACAAGATAGAGTGACTTTCAAATTTGTCAATTAGAAATGAAAAACTTGATCAGCCAGGCTGTGGCTGGGGTAAAGCTCTATTATAACATTGATCTATTTTTACAAGCTATTTCACCAGATATTTTCAGCAAAAGTTTGAAATCAAACACAACTGATTGGAATTTTGCAATGGCAAAGTATGCTTGCCAACTCTTGAAAGGTGTGCACACAAAGACTGTTGATTCCCGACTCAATATTACAGTATTTGAGTCATAACTTGACCAGCAAAACTTGAAGATGAAAGGGATAAAGCTTGTCCTTGCAGACTTTTGAGTACATTATTTTAGGACATAGTCCTGGAAGGACAACAGTTCACTCAGAGAAGACCATGGGAACTCAATGCCAACCCTGGTTCCATGGGATTCCTGAGGAGATTAGCACCAGCTTCACCAATCTTAAAACTTTTTTTTCTAAACACCCTGTGTTTTAATTTTGAAATTAGTTAATCTCTTCTTTTTGAAAAGTATCTGATTACATTTATAGTGCTCTTTCCCTTTGTTGGTTTCCAGAATAAAGACATAAGCCCTCTCAAAATTTGATTTGTTTAGGTTGAAAGAGGAAATTCCTAAAGTTGAGTTGAAGGTATGTTACCAGCAATTTTTTGAACTTGGATCACGTTCTTTTGGATCCTGTAAAATTGGTTATGCTAAAAGCTAAATACTTTAGTATGTAGGCTATTTTCATGGAGTATTTTTCAGCCCCTCAGCATGACTTTGATGAGTATACAATTTATTTTTACTTTTTTAGATGTCGCTTTAAGTCACTTTTTTGTGTGCAGTGAGTGATACTGTCTGATACATTGTAATTCGAATATCAAATGAATCATGTATGATACATGGAGGTAGTACTACATAACTGCTTCAGAATCTATGTTTATTGTTGAAATTGGATACGTTTCTTGACAATATTCCACAAAAAGCGCATCTGAATTTTTGAAAAACATCACAGAACATTTCAATTATTGAAACCAAATGAATCTCACCCAAAACAGGCAAAACTTCGTAAGAGAAAAATTAAGTTCGAATTCATTCTTAATTTCTTCACTTTTTAAGTTGAAAATAATGGAAAAATACGAAAAACATAATTCGAAAAATGTAACGCTTCTGCTGAAGTTGTCATGGTTCTGAAATATTTCCACTGGAGAAAAGTAGTCCATTTTCGTACTTGAAAAAAAATCGAGGCCAGCAAGTATTACTCATTTTTAAAAATCAATTGTCTCTTGAAACGTGCCTGAAGCGATTTCAAAAATTCAACGCCGCAAATACACATCGTCTGCGACATATGCGCACAAAAATTTTCAAAAAAATACAGTTCATTCTTCAGGTGCTCTTCACATTGTACATGCATTTTTCTGCGCGGATGAAAATCGATGAAGCAATTCCTTCCCCAGGAAGCTTTCACGACTGCTACTCTTATTCCGCACGCACTTTTTCTTTCCATTCCTTATGCATTTTTCCTACGCATATACTTCATGCAATTGCTCCCAGAATTTATGGTTGCTGGTGTCGAGTAATTGCCTCCCCACCAGCGACGTCGACCATTTGTCAGCACGGGGTAGTGTAGAATATACGTAAGCGTTCAGACGAAACAGAGGAAGAAAAGGGTCAAGCCATTGGATCAATAAAAACCAGCAGAAAAGCCCTTTTTGATGTGAAGGGCATGCTTTAAAAAAATGCGATTTTCAGAAAATATGACAAAGGGACGACGCAGACGGCCGAGAAAACCATCAATTCGAAGTTGTTTTTTTTCCTCGTGAAATTTGTATCTTGAGGCACTGAATCCCGAGTCTCCACGAAAGTCTGTGATATTAACGAAAAATCGCTGGCATCTATATATATTGTATTCGGAGCACATGACACACTTCTCATAATTACGAATTTATTTGGTTGCACACGTGAGTACAACACCAAGAACACATTTCTAATATTACGTTGCTTGATGTTCTTCAATAACTTATTGGTCAATTGCAGCATGACTTCTTGATATGACTTGGATTTTCGAGTGTGAAATCTTCATGATGTGCAATATTTTGCGCTAAAAATCACGTCTTCTTTCGCCAAAGAACTTTTGCACATGCTGGATGACGTCAGTTATTGAGATTTTTTCACGCAAATAAGGTCAGCCATAAAATAATTAGCTTCCGCCGGAAGGATCTCAGACATGTTTTTGTACTCGAATTATTTACGGCGTAGCTCGAAAACAAGTCAGAGTTGACTCGAGGTACATTACGAAGATTACATTTATTCTTTGAGAAAAGCACTTCGCTTATTTAAAATTCAGCGGAAAAAGGAAAAAAAATTGGAATTGACAAGCATGTTTTTGTATCTATTTCACATATTTTGCAGCGGACGAGTCTGATGGAGACATTGGACTTTGTGGATGGATCCTCACTGGTTTCTCCTGGCTGCTGATTCTTTGCACATTCCCTTTCTCTCTCTGCGTGTGTCTGAAGGTGAGGATTTCTAAATGTTTTTTTTTTCTTTTGAAAATGTTGAGAGAATTCCAGGGATGCCTAAAATATAATTTGCGAAAGGATTTCCTCTTCAAATAGGAACTGGAATTCTACTGGATTCGGAGAATTAACAATACATCGTCAAGTTAATTTTCGAGGATAAAATTCCCTAGATTTCCTGTTATTTCGGAGTGTATTTTCCTGAAGCAACAGGAAAGTTACATTGACCTCATAGAATTCTAGGGCTATTGATGGTTTTTTTTGCGAAAACAAAAAACAAACATAAACAAATTTACCGCCATTTGACCCCAACTTTCAAAGTACAATCACTCAACCGCCACCTGGTGTCAAAAATGTGCACTTCGCTTACACTTTATGCTTCTTATTGATCAGATGTAATTTAAGACCAAATTTAAAAAATTAGACGACATTTAAATGAAAGAAAAAAATGCTGTTGGTTGGTGGTAGACATTTTTCATTTCCTGCTCAAGCTTGACGTATGTCTTTCATCAAATGAAATTCCCGGTCGGAAAATTTTCATGGTAACTTCATAAAGTGCACCGAGGATGAAGGGAATGAACCCAGTTCGTGATTTGATTATGTGGAAGATAATCCAATGAGTCATCTTTTGCGGCTGAGGGTAGAGAGGAAAATGCGGGATGAAGATATTTTCCAGTATTTTTATTTTTATTTTTTGCGGGGAAGATGAAACGGATAAACTGTATATATATATATATATACAGTATATAAATATGTACAAGGGTTCGAACAGAAGTTCTCAAGACATAAATTTAATTGGCACATGACAGCTCCTGAAAATCAATCATTGCCCAGTAAAAATGTTTCCTTAGTCGACGCATTTTTGTCATTTTCTGAAAAGGTCACCCTGGAAGCTTTCTGCTCTTCACGCAAAAGTTGATGCATTTAAAAGCTGAGGTAAAAAAAAATCATGGCTCAGAAATAACATTCCTTGGCGAAAAAAGAAAAGATTCAGCCCCTCTGACACATTTTCCAGAATTATTCTTGGAAAACTCCCCCTTCTGGCAGCTCTTTGCTCTTTGTTGAAAAGATGTGGGGCCCATATCGGGGAGATTTTTTGGTGTATCCCAGTTTATTCTTTAGAATTCTTGAAATCGACATGACAATCATTTCAAAAGCTGTCTCCAGGTCTTCCAAGGCTATTCCCCCATTTTCATGAACAGTTGCCTTCAGCATAGCCGTCACATTCTCATCCGGAATAATGGCTGTGAAAACAGCTGCCGACGAAAATGGCGGAATTAATAATCAATTAATGGCAGAAACCTCTGGAATCAATTTCGTATAAATTTCAAGAATTGTGCTCGGAAAGCAAGGTTTAAAAAAATATGCATTTTATGGCGGAAATCTGCCAAGGCTGACTGTTTCAAACAATTTCTGAAAAACATGTCAAACAGAGCTAAGTTTTTTCTCGTGCCAAAGACATTTTTTCTGAACAATAATTGCTTTTCTGCTCAATCCTATGCCGTTTCCATGTACAATATTCCGAAATCATTCGTTAGATCCTCGTGTATATTTATAGAGATATATATGATATAGATATTTTGGAGAGCCTTTTCTGGCGGAATTCGTATCTCATACGAAGGAAACATTTTCGCGACATTTCCTTCCTTCGTGGTGGTGGTGGTGTATGTATAGAAGTGAGGAATATATGTATGGGTTGCGTGCCACATGGGGATTGCTGTCGTTTCTCCCGATTCCATCCCGAATTTATCCTTTTCTATCTTATTTCTTATATTCTTCCCTTTTTTTCGCAGGTTGTGCAAGAATACGAGAGGGCAGTGATTTTTCGTCTCGGAAGGCTGATGTCTGGTGGGGCAAAAGGACCAGGTGAAATTTGAAATCATATTCTCTTTTTTTGAAATGTAATCCTAGACGAGAAAAGGCTTCTTCAATTTAAAGTTTCCTCGCTGAACTCGTCCAATAACTTGTTAAAATATGGGGGAGAAATTCCAACTTCTTTTCCAAGGGTGTCAGCAGGACGAATATGTGTTTTATTGCAAGGAGTAGGAAATAATGATGTGGCAGGAATAATTCCTCCATTGCTACTGGCTTTTTTGTTGGTGTGGTTGGAAACAAGAGGAAGACTGGAGTGGGGAAAGTCAAAGGGCTTTTATAGTCGTAACATGAAACCCGGACGTAAGTCGGGGGTTTTTTTAATTTACGAAAAGCGCCGTAAGATGAAACGGACGTAACATGGGCCCGTCGTAAGTCGGGGGCCCACTGTATAGATATTTTGGAGGGCCTTTTCTGGCGGAATTCGTATCTCATCCGAAGAAAACATTTTCGCGACATTTCCTTCCTTCGTGGTGGTGGTGGTGTATGTATAGAAGTGAGGAATATATGTATGGGTTGCGTGCCACATGGGAATTGCTGTCGTTTCTCCCGATTCCATCACGAATTTATCCTTTTCTATCTCATTTCTTATATTCTTCCTTTTTTCGCAGGTTGTGCAAGAATACGAGAGGGCAGTGATTTTTCGTCTCGGAAGGCTGATGTCTGGTGGGGCAAAAGGACCAGGTGAAATTTGAAATCATATTCTCTTTTTTGAAATGTAATCCTAGACGAGAAAAGGCTTCTTCAATTTAAAGTTTCCTCGCTGAACTCGTCCAATAACTTGTTAAAATATGGGGGAGAAATTCCAACTTCTTTTCCAAGGGTGTCAGCAGGACGAATATGTGTGCTTGGATTCATGAACTGAATAACACGACATTTATATATTTCCACTATGGATGAAATTGAATAATTAACGCGTATCGATGTCAACACCTTTCCTATAGGAATATTTTTCGTCATTCCTTGCGTGGACAGCTACAGCAAAGTGGACTTGAGAACAGCAGTGTTCGATGTGCCACCACAAGAGGCTAGTATATATAACACGGCAAAATAAACCCTATATACATATGCTCTTTTATGTCGTCATCGAGTGTGCTTTTCTTATTTAGTATCACTTTCCTGCGTCAGGTCAGGTCTTCGTTTGAAAAAAAAAATTATTACAGTTTGAAACTATTTATTTATTTATGAGAAGTTTAATATGGCAATTTAAAGAAGGAATTTATCAGGATAAAAATATGACCTGACTCAGGGATGTGAATATATAATAGTTTCTGTGTATGACGAAGCACTTTCTTTGATTGTGGTTTGTCGATCTGTCCCCAGTTTGCGTCTGCACACATTTTGCCGTTGTTTATTCTGCATATTGCATCGATGATAACCCAGCTTATGTCTTACTTTTGGCAGAAGTGATGGAGCTAAGCTAGAAATTGCACGAATCCTCACGGTTTCGATAATGAGAAGATGTATGTACTGAGAATCTTTGACTAATTGCACTCTGTTCCATCCAAATTTTGGAACCATTAATCTTTATCCGGGGTGATTGTGACACTCGTGAAGGATTTGAAGATGATAAGAGACGATATAATGCGAAAGTCGACGTGAGAACGAATTTGAGGCTAAACTTGGATATATTTCGAAATGTATTTAAAAAAAACTGACATTATTCGACTGTCAATTGATGTGAATAATTATAGGAGGCATGGTATGAATAGACTTGATGCTCTTGAAGCCTTGTGTTCTATTCATAATTACTTACCCTTTTTGAAGTCCCGCTTGTCATAATCAATCTTGACTGAACTACTTTCGGGATTGATTTTCCTTGAGATGATTAACTTTCTATGAATTTTATATTGTGAAATCAACAGTATCTTCAAAAAACTCCCTCTTCATAAAAAATGTTTTCGGTTTTTGTCCATCAAATTTGGGCTAAAAAAATTTCAGACGTCATGGCTGCTGTAAATTATTGCAATCCTAACACTTCAGATTGTTGCATTACTTAATTACATATGCACTGCATTAATTATATTAGAAAGAAGTCATTCATTTGATATAAGATACAATATAAAGAAGGGAATCGTATCTTGAGTAAATGAATAATTTTGTACAAACTATTCAAGGTAATTTTTTCCTGTTTTCTCTCTAAAATATCATTGAAAGTGAGGAGAAATTTACGCATTCAAACCTCGAAGCTGTTGGGATTTTAGTATGTCACAAGACAATTTATGAGTTTCCAAATTCATACTTTTTTTAAATTATTTTCTAGGGATGTCCTACCTCCTACGTGATATGAATTTAAATTGGGATACGTCTGATTCCTATATGGGATTACTTTTTCTAATCATCATTGACGAGCCAATTTGGCGTGATTTCGGGAATGGGATTAGAAATTTGTATTCGCCAATGAAAACTGTGTCGTGTATTCGTAATTTCATTTTAAGAAATTTCCGAATTCGTGATGCCTCGTAGTATAAATACTGGATTCATTGCGGATGTTGAGCCATAAGTGTTGGGGAACTATTTCTATATAAGGAGCATCAAACGGTTCCCCTTTTGTGGGTGCTGTATTTTAATTTTTAAGGATACAAAAAAATAAGCTCCTGGTTCAGATGCGACCCCACGTCTCAATTTCCCTGAGTGGTTCCGAATCGCCGGGATTAAGGTTCTCGTTGTCTATTCGCAGTGATCCATGGGGTTCACTTGGGAACCCCATTGTGACTGAAGAGTGTATTACTGCTATTGTGGATATATACTTAGTCAGTTCAGATCGGTTTTGTACTAGTTGTTTTTCTTTGTGGGGATCACTGAAGGATCAATCTCTGAATAGACAATCGAAATGTCGCATTCTAGCCTCTATAAAATGGGTAAATACATGTATTTACAGTAATAAAAAAGAGAGGGTCGTGCAGAATAAAGGTACGTTACAGTGGGGCCCCGAGATGCGGACGTTACAGTTGGTGCTTAGATACCTGTTCCTTGTGTTTGAGCGTCCACAAGTTGAATCAAATTTTCCCTCAGACTGCCAGGAAAATTATATCTAATTGATTCTCCTGCTGTTGATCACAATTAGGAAAAAGTCTCAAAAATATTGGATTTTTTTTCTCAATTTCAAGATACAGAAAATACCTGTCCAGAAGAAAAACCACGCAGAATCGGATATTTTGGCGTGAAAAGGGGCTCAAAAAGTAATTGAAAAGCACAAGTATTCCTATATACAGTACTACACACATAAATGGTGGAAAGAAATTTGTAAAAACGGAGCACAACAGTTGTCTACTCTGGACTATTTATTATATTTAATTGAAATTTAATTAATTTTGAATTCTTGTGAATACAAAAACGCAATTTTTTCGAGAAACATCAGAAAGAATAATCAGAAATGTACGACTTGTTTAGTAATGTTGGTAAAATGTCAGAATCTCGAAACCTTTTCCGTATGTCAAGGCATATACAGTATTTTTGAGTCTCAAGTGTTATTCATAGAAATCGAATCGTCCGTTTGTCAAGGTGGCCGTATGTCGAGGCCAATACTGTACAATATTTCATGGACAGATTAGTAACTGTATTTTTTGTCGATTATATGAGCTGAAAAAACTTGAAAGCGGCCTATAATCATGAGGAAGATTAATCAAGATAGGCCGCACAGCAATTATGTCATTAATACTTTCTAGTGGTTTCTATATGAGCATTTCTCCGCTTATTCCTGTTCTGGATTAACTGGAAAATTTTACCGGTAATTATTCGTGTAAAGTATGAGGTTTCTTAAAAATTTGCTACCTGTATAAACGATTTTTACTAATTTAGAACTACTGCTTCAAATTTTGGTGGGACCCATGGGTGCTAGAGAACGCTGGAAACATTTCCACGTTCAGAATTCTATTGATAACCTCGAAATACGAGATGTGGCATAAATTCTATAGTTATCAGCTATAGTTTTTATGCACCAACAGGCATGAAAACGAATTCCTGCTTGCGTTCATAACAGCTGAGAGCTGACTGAGGTTGAATTCCGACAGAAGCAAATAAATTTTGAAATATGAAACCAGGTGCTCGAAATATGAAACATGAAGGGTGCATTTTTCGAGCCAGAGAATTTTTTTAGGCTTCATCAGAAATAATTTAATGTCTCGAACAAATTCTTGTGTCCTTCAGAACTTTGAAACTTGATGAAATTGCACATTGAACTTGTTATTGTTTATTTTCTATACATGAAAATGTCACTTTTGAATTTTAGACATGCGAAATTAATTTTGGACCCACAACACATAGCTATTGACTCATCATTCCGCCTTTTGAAGATTTTCATCATGAAAAAGCGTGTTCCGGGAATTGATTCAAGTGGGTTCCTCAAGTGCGTTAATTGATATTTCAGCGTCAATCAGGGAAGGGAAAGTTTCATTTGAGAAAGGCGTATAATAATTGGCAAATTCAAAGTGCGTCTTATTGGCTCATTATCTGAAACAGTAGAACGCGCTTCTGATCCAATTATTGTGAATGGTTTCCTTTGATGTTGATGCTCTGTTTTATATACTGTACTATCCTTCAGGGAATTTAACATTTACAAGCATATTCTATATATATATAGCAGGACTTTAAGCCTATCATCCTTTCTTAATTGTTTAATAGTTCATCAACATGCAAGAACATGACTTCTCTTTATTCAACCTGCACCTTGTTTCACTCGAAATGACAGCAGTTGCATATGAATCTGGTTTGTATAGAGGTTTAGAACCATAAAAACAGGTTGGGTTATGTTACTAAATTATTTGATTTATTTTTCGATTGTGCGCGAACAGCGATTTCAACTTTTTGCTTGATTTTCAAAAAGAAATTTCGGCGAAAATCTTTTTTTTTTTCGAAGATAATTTCGAGATATAATCTAGGACTTTGAAAAAATGAGCTTGTCAATATCAAGAAAACACTTGTATCAAATGGAATTTCATATGTGAAATGCAAAAATGAAACGGATCGATCACCTCACATTTTACTTAAAATTCAGCGGTAATACGGCTTTAATCATTCCGATGTAATCTCAAATCATAAGAATTTAAGAAGAATTGCAGCACTTGTGGATTAGAAATCAAAAGAAAAATAATATATCCGATTCCTGAACATATACGTCCTGAAAAGGGATGCACTAATGACCTTTTACCAAACTTAAAATAAAATGAACGAAGTTATGGATCGAATTATTTCTATGTTTTCCTAGTTTGATTAAATGGAGAAGAACATTATGATTAGCTACGAAAATAGCAATTCTATGAAGCAGTAAATTCAAAGAAAAATGAGTCGCTTGGTAAACTAGAATCAGCAGGTTATTTTTTCAACTTTTGCCTTTTTAGTGTTTCTCGAAGCTATGTGCCAAGCAAAAATAAAGAAATCCCAGTCGATGAACAAATTATATGTATATTTCCTCCACTTAATTTTTTATTTCGACGTTTACGAAAAGTGATTGACTTGTTTCAGTCGATATACGGTTATATTTTGAACACGTTCCACATAAATATATTTCCCTCAGTGTATTTAATTTGACGAGGATGACATAATAATGGGAGTTTCATGGAAATTATTAGGGATTTTAAGAATGTAATGAGAAATTGGTGCAATCATTCCGCAGGTTTGTTGTTCGTTCTGCCGTGCATCGACAAATTTTTTATCGCAGACCTGAGGCTAATTACGTTTGACGTACCTCCGCAAGAGGTGAGCCTTTCATCATCATGAAAATTTCCCTTCGCCTGCTCAACTTTTCTTCTTCATCGAATGAAATCTTAGCGAGGAAGTTTACTTGTTAAACTTTTCCTCCGGTGGCTCGAAAAGACGCTTTCATCACGACGTGTATCAATAATATCGAGTACAGTATAGGTGTACGGTACATTGTAACGAAACTTTCCGTGCGTAATGAGTTCAATTATGATGCTTGGGAGTTTTTTTAATTTAAGATTTCGGGAGAAGTTTGAATTTTTTTCAGTTTTAAAAATAAGAACGTTGCTATGAGAAATGAAGAGAAAAGGAAGATATTTTCCCAGAAATTGTGCTGTTTATTAGAAAAGAGTAAATTGAGCATTATTATTCCAGTATTTTTTTCGATTGATACACTTTATTGTTGTCTTCATAACGGAGAATTATCGCGAACGATGCGAGTGCTCGTCGTAGAAAATGTCATGGCGGACAGATTTCATGGATTTCGTCCGAATTTCGAAGCAGCATTTAAAACGATTTTCTACTGTATACTGTAGTACTTCGAGGTCATCTGTCTTTCTGAACTGCGGGTGAAATATTATCAAAATTCGATAGTTTAGTTGTCCTGTGCTTCCTATAGCTACGTATATAGAAATGGTCATATTTCAGATCGGTAATTTCGTCAGTATATGGTTTATTGTTTTCATGCTGCTCGAACTGTTCTCTTATAGATTTCATACATCGTATCTATATGGATATGAATATCATAAAACAGTTGTACAATTGAGTGTGGAACATTTTTTATGCGTTCTGAAATCCACTAACTTGAAAAAATATCTTACTCAATTGTCCGTATCGTCTGTTTATTTAACAACCTTCGGAATAAACTTGCCATAAAATATAGACTTTTCAGCAAATACCGTACTTTTTGCTGGTCCAACTGATGACGAGAATGGGTGGAAACATTTTAAAATTATTATTGTTATAAAGTAATTAGATTGTTTTTGTTTAAATAGCATCAAGTTATGCTTCAGTCGAAAAGAATAGAATTTTCATTCATTTCCAAAATTCCCACCAAGAAACTGGTCATATGTTTTAGTTCATTACATTCTGAAGACTGGATACCGCTTTCAATATTTTGAATTGAGTTCAATATTATTGCATTAGATAACAGACTTTTTCTGGCTAAAATTTCACACGATCATTTCAAACCCTCCGAAAGAAGGCGAGAATAGTAATTGAAAAATTGAAAATGTGGCACTTTTGGCTCTGTATATATTGCTTAACTATAAAACTGCTAAAATGAAATTGCTAATAAAAAAAACCCTCAACCGCTCAGGACATTTTTCAGATAACTATATGTAATACCGTCATTTGCAATTAAAGATCAGTCTATTTCTTCGAAATGTACTTGTAATGCTAAATAAAGAAATATTCTAAAAGTTCAGAAAAATCGCTTGTTGAATTTGAAGGCATTTTCATCAGGCAGAGAGTACACAAATAATATTATGGTGCAATCATTATATTGGCTTCATTCAAGTTAGATATGTTGAAAAGACTTGAAATATTCATTTGATGAAATCATTGTAGGACGATGATGGAATTGGAAGAACGAAAAAATTATATTTGAATGACTGCAGCTTTTCGAAAGATATTTTCAAAACACGTTGCATAAACTGCATGTCAGAAGATCTTTGCATGTTGTAGTGACGGCACTTTTCAATTTATTAGATGTCATCATTGCACGCTTCTTTATTTTTCAAATGCCTTGCTTTTGTGCAGCTGTGTTGATTTTATAATTAACTCGAGTGATTCAAATTGCTCTGATTCTAGAATTCGTGCATACATATTCTCGTTATTATTTTTTTAAATATATTTTTTATAATTCTGACCATGGATGCCAAGCGCAGGTGCTGACAAAGGACAGTGTGACAGTGTCGGTGGACGCCGTGGTCTACTACCGAGTGTCGAATGCGACCGTGTCGATCGCCAATGTCGAGAATGCGCATCATTCGACGCGACTTTTGGCACAGACCACTCTGCGAAATGTGCTCGGCACCAGAAATCTTCACGAGATCCTCGGCGATCGTGAAAGCATCTCCACGTTCATGCAGGTAATTCGAAACATTTTGTCTCTTTTCTTCTTTTAAAATTTGCGACGATTTTTTTGGTCTCCCGTTTTGCCGCTTTCTGCCAGGATGACCGCTTTCAAGTTAGATTAAGTGTCTTTTTGAGGGAGGGAATTTCAAAACTTTTTTATTATATACATGCATGGACGATGATGAAAGTTTGCTCATTATGCTCGTAGAATATTGGGATGTTGTCCATGATGTATAGATACGAACTGATGAAATTGAAAAAGAATGCATTCTAGTGCAGTGTTCCCACGGACCGGCAAATTTTCCTAAAATTTTCTGCCGACCGGCGGCAGATTTCCCCAAGATTTTCTGCGGACCTGCGGCCTTCCATAAAATTTTTTGCAGACCACCAGAAATATTTTTAAATGCCTCCCATAAGGTCCTACCCAGCAAATAATTTGGGCGTAAACCGCTAGGGTTTACGCACTAAAAACGGCCTTATAGACGTCCAGGGTGGACGTCTATCCAGGCGGCCA